TCGTTAATTGCCAGTTTTTATATTTCATTTGAATAGCAATTTAATTTCAGCATCATCAAAAAGTAGTTTCAATTTGAATTTGATTTTATTTGAATAAATTTTGATTTTTCAACTGCAATTGATATTATGGATATTTGAGCAGGTATTGAAGGGCAAAGTTTTTGCCATCTGAATTTTGGCTAACAGTGTGCCGGGTGGGCGGGGCACTGTTGGCCCTGTTTATGGCCATTGGCAAACTAACGCGCATCGATGGCGCTTTAATGGGGCACGTTTAACGGCTGCAGCATGTGCTTGCATGAGTTGCACGTATGTGTGGGAGGGTAGAAGGGTAGGCGTGGTTAGCGTTCAACTAACAGCTGGCTAGCTAGCTGAGTGACTGAAAGAGGAACAGGATGAGGATAAGGGAGAGATTGGGAGTTGAGCATTTTAATCAAAGTGCTGGCCGCTGCGGTTGCCTGTTGTGAAAGCAACAGCAGCAGCAACAGCAACAGCAACAATTTAAATATGAGCCACAGTAAATCTTGAGCGCAAAAACTGATTTATGGCAACGGCCACGGAAATGACTTTTTATGGCAGCGAATAAATTTAATTTTTGGTCAACAAAGTGCTGCAGTTGAACCCCCGCTACACCCTACCCCTCGCGCTCTCCTGCTTCCTTTCGGATAGCTCCTGTTTCTGTTCATAAACTTGCAGTAACTTGCTGCAGCCGCTGGGCGTGGCACTTGATGAGACCGCATAGCAACAACAACAACAGCAACAATAAGAGCAACAAAAATTTGAGCATGTCACGAAAAAATCAAGTAGAATGCCTTGTTCAAGACTAGAAGATATCCTGTATTCGGGAACTTAAGGTCATATAAATTTAGAGGCATGTTCAGAGTATCTTCTTTTCCTGCATCTACTGATTTATCTCGGGCATGAATCGACACTTCGAGCCGATCACAGTTACCTTTTGCTTCTTTTATGCCCTTGCACATCATACCCCAACAACCTTAACAATCTTGTTTACAGGATATAATTAATGGCAAAGCAAGCTCAAATTTATGACTCCTGACTCTTGACTCCTGACTCCTGCTTTTGACTTGCCACTGGCCACAAAGGCAACCCCTCTCCACCTCTTCCTCCATGTCCTCCCACTACTCACTTGACAAGCATCCGCTGTAGCTTTTAAAGATGGCAAAGCGCGAATCCGTCGTATTAATGCCGCCGATCTGTGCCCGATTTGCGCCCTCGTCCGGGCTGCTGGTCACCGCGCGTGCCGCAAAGGCCGTTAGGGGCACCTGTTCGCGATCAATGTAGAGCAGCGCCTGGGTGCCGTTGCGTTCATAGTAGACCGAGTGTCGAGCGCTGTTCAGGAAATTCCGATCGATGCGTGCGCCCACCGTTTGGCCACGCTCGCGATCCTCCTCGAACTGCAGGTAGCCGTCCGAGGTGATGGCCAGCAGCAGATAATAGCTGCGCTCCGCAGCTGTCTGCAGAAGCAGCATAATGCGATTAGCTCGCCGCAAGTCGAACGAGGAGAAGGCCAGCTGTAGGCGCACGTAGTCAACGCTGCCCGTGCTGGGCAGCTCGAATTTGCGCTGCAGCGTGGACTCGCCGCTGAAATCGGCGCCCTTCTCCACCGAACAGAACTCGCCCAGAAAGCTGGTGTGCTCGCAGTCGCAGGTGGACATCTGTTCGGCAAAGTGCTCCTTGCAAATGCCGCCGTTCTTGCAGGGCTCCGCATCGCATTTGATCTGGCAATTGGGCAGGACGCCATCAAGAGCTGGGGGAGTAGAGAAAAGTGCATTAGAGAGGTAATTTTATTGATGGAGATGAGAAGGCATGAGAGGATGTGGCGGGGCTTGGGTTAAATTCGGTTTGCCAATCGGGCAAATCAAAGACTTGGGCAATATTTGAAAGGATCTACGCTTCAGTCAGTTATTAAGTAAGTCATAGGAAGATATATCAAAGGATGTTGAGGAAAATATAGTAAATAAAGTTATATCTTGATGCTCATATAATTAGATATAATAGAAGATCAGAGGCATGGTCTATGACATATATGGCGGAATGAAGGGAATATTCGAAATAGTAAGTTATGCCTTGAAGAACATGCAGATAAATATAATTTAATTATATCTCTGATCTTCTATCGAATCTATCAAATTGTGCCTTGATAAACATACAGATAGATATAATTCTATTTCAGTCAAGTTCCGATAGTTCGAAATGGCAAGGCGATATAATTTTTTCCAATTTATTGCGATTTTCCATTTAGCGGACTATATATCTCTGATCTTTTATCAGAAGTATGGTATATATGTCGAAGGGAAAGTTTGTAATAGTAAATTGTGCCTCGATGATCGACAGATAGATAGAATGTAAAAATATATAGAATATAAGAATATCGATCTAGAATCTCTTATTTATACATTGAGCTAGTATAAAGCCTTGATTAAGAAGCTTTCGCTAGACATGATTTATCAATCAGTCAGCAAATGAATCAGTGAGTCAGTCAGTCTGTGCATAAAGTATTTCATGTGTAAGCAATCCGAACTATTTACGTTGTGTGTGACGATCATCAATCAGTTAGTCCGCATACTTAGATTTCTATACATAGTAGTATGAATATTATATATACAGAGAGGGAGAGAAAGAGAGAGAGAGAGAGTATGCTGACTAGGCTAATAAATAGTTTCTTGGTTTTGTGGTTACACTCAAACCAGTTACTTAATCGTATCAATGTCGGCACACAATTTCCGCGGCGTGTGTGTGTGTGTGTGTGTTTTTGGGTGTATGTGTGTGTGTGGTCACATAAATCATACGCCGTGTAGCCAGCGGCATTTGGCCTATCGCATTGGCATTAATCTTGGCACACCAAGTGGAGCCTGGCCTCAGCTTAACAGGCGCAGCACTCTACGGAAATTGCCTGCATATTAAGTTGCACAAAGTGGATAGAAGTGGGGACTAAATGGCAGCCCAAAATGGATTTAGGCGATGTCTGTGTGTGTGTGTGTGTGTGTGGTTGTGCATATGTATGTGAGTGTGTGTGTGTGTGTGTGTTGGCTTGGGCCGCAAAATTGCACTCAGTGAAAATTGATTTATACTCGGTACTTACTGGGCGCTATATTCCTTTCATTGATTTCCGCCAAGTCGATCAACTGGGCGCCAATTTTGAGGCCGCGCACACAGCCGATATAGCCTTCGAGTGCCGGTGCATCCACATTTGGTCGCAGCAAATTTGCCGGATCGTAGCCACCGACATGGAATTGAAAGTACTCCGTTGGCGGTGCGGGCGGACGATGGGGCGACAGCACCTCTGCAAATAAACAAAATCAAAATGAGCTAGCTGGCTGAGAGAGTAGAGTAGTTGGGGTTGGGTCTGGACCGGAACTCGGCCACAAATCGAATGCAATTCGTGGCCAGGCCAATGCCAATGCGGAAATGGTCGTTCAGTGTTGTGGAATTCCAGATTCTATCGGCATTTCGCAGCTTAAGGTTGTCTAATTGAAATGTTTTGACTACATTCGACAGCTGGCCACAGCTGTAGCGGCCCAAACTGTCAGCTAACGCATTTAATTACATAAGTGGTTATGTCTTACGTTCGGTCTGCCATTGCCCAAATGGTCGAGCATATTGGCATTTGCAAATTTTCGACCTGTGCTAATTATGATTGATTTTTGGCATCGTTGGCTCATTCCATTGCCAATTGCCAGCACAATTGTGTTGCTGCTGATTGATTGATTTACCGTTTACCATTTACCAATTTCTGTCCAAAATTCTCGTAAATTGCGAAATTCGAGATGGCCCAGGTGGCGAGCTATTTGACCAGAGAGTGCAACACTCAGCCTCGGTCTGACTCTGGCTGTATTAATTAAAGCCGCTCTTCAAGTGCTGTTCAGCACAATGTGATAAAACATTTGCCAATTGTATTTAGTTTCGACTATTGCTAATTATTTTCAATTGCATTTGAAGTTTATTGACTAAAGTGTTACGTATTCATTTCAATAAGCTAATAATGCACTGTTGTATTAAGTGTGGATTTGATATATGGAATTAATATTCTACATTTACATACATCTTCAATTTGTAAATGCCAAAAGCAAGGTCTATGTTTTATTGATAATTATTAATATAGTCTAATGAATTGTTGTCATTTATTAGCTGTTAGCTCGCATCGCAACTAAACTCTCATTGCCTCTGGTGCTCAATCGTTATCTCTGAACAACAAATATTTTAAAGCTTTTATGCTCAACATTTATGTTACATGTAAAACTTGATTCATATTTGATAGTCTATTTTTATACTCATTCAAAATGGAACTAAAGGGTATTATGTTTGAAAGAGTGAGAGAAAGAGAGAGTGAGAGAGGGAGAGAGAGGAAGGCGTGGAAGACTGCTTAGGGTATATCTGCCCATCTGTCTATATGTCTCTTATTGCGAGTATATCTCGTGAACTACAAAAGCTAGAGATTGGCAATCTTAAATATTCATATATATATATTTCCAAATACCATACCCATTAAGAGTGTTTCTTTCCTTCGTATATCTCATCCCATTTCCTAGTTATCTATATAAATCTAAGGACTCCAAGTATCTACTAGTCGGGCAGTCCCCAACAAAGCATTTTTACTTGTTTTGTGCATGTTTCATATTTGGGATTTATGTTTGTAAACAGAAAATTGAACTTTTTCGTGGAATATAAAAAAACGATTTCTATATAATTGACATTCAATGTTTATCAAAAGCTAATCCAATGGACAGTCGAATGTGATTTCTTTTCCATTTTTATATATTTTGAAAACGTTTTCCGCATCAACAATTCAGTTTCAGCATCAGCATCAGTTTTAGCTTTAGTTTATGCTGTTTCTGTTTCAGTTTTATTAACATATGCTGCTCACAAATTTGAAACAACTATAAAGCAGCTGAATGTTTTTATGCCATAGTGGAAAGTTTTGCCATTTCAATTGCTTTCACACAGTCAGTTTTTTTTTTTCTTTTCTATTTTAGATTTTTTTTACGTACTTTTTTCTTTTGCATATATTTTTTCGCCTGTTTTATCGAGCTAAACAAGCACGCACGGGCGTGCATGTGTATGTGTGTGTGTGTTGGTGAATAAAAAGGAAACATTTGAAGTGCATATAATTTGGCGATCGGAGTGCACGGATTTTCACTCTATGAGCGTGTCTCCCTCTCTCTGCATTGGTGTGTGTGTGTGTGCGCGCTGAAATTTTTGGCATTTTTGCAACTTTACTTGCTAAACTATTTGAAAATTTTCATGCTGCGCTTGGCGGCGCAAAAAAAAGAAAAACGCGCAGGGGAGTAATTGAGGCGAGGTTAGGCAACAGGAGCTGTCAGGCAAGCAGCCAATGCTAGCTAAAGAGTTGGAAGGCAGCAACAGGACGACAGGAGCAAAAGCTTTGTTGGTTCAATAACCAAAAGAAATAAAACGCAAATAAAAACAAAAGAACAAAAACAAATCGAAACGAAACGAAACCAAACAATTGCCGACTAGACGCTAGGCAACCGCCTGTCAATGCAGGGCTATGTGAGGGTTTATAGCCGCAACGCCGACGGCACTAACGGTGGCGGCGGTGGCGCTGGGGATGGCGAGGGCACAATTGTTTATTATGGTTGCGCCGGGCCCATCGGCGAATGGACGCAGCGCATTGCCAGTCTGCAGCCGACAATCGACCAGAGCGTTGCCACCATGTACGGCCGATTGCCGGGCGCGAATAATGGGAACAGCAATGCGGCTGGCGGTGCTGGAGTCGCTTCGTCTCATGAGCGAATCAAAATCGGCTTCTGCACGGATCTGGACAAATCGGTGTTGGTTAACAACTTCGAGAAGCGCGGCTGGAATCAGGTGAACGGCGACGACGATTGGCATTTCTATTGGGCCGGCGTGCAGACGTGCCGGAATATCTTCAGCGTGGACAGTGGTTATCGCATGCACGACAATCAGATGATCAATCACTTTCCCAATCACTATGAGCTCTCGCGCAAGGATTTGCTGGTGAAGAACATCAAGCGGTATCGCAAGGATCTCGAGCGTGACGGCAATCCGCTGGCCGAGAAAACCGAATCGAACAACTCGAGCGGCACGCGCTATCTCTACTTGGACTTTGTGCCGACGACTTTTGTGCTGCCCGCTGACTACAATATGTTTGTGGAGGAATATCGCAAGTTTCCGTTAAGCACTTGGATCATGAAGCCTTGTGGCAAATCGCAAGGCGCTGGAATTTTTCTCATCAACAAGCTGAGCAAACTGAAGAAATGGTCGAGGGAGGCCAAGGGCCCATTTCATCCACAGATTGCCAAGGAATCGTATGTCATCTCACGCTACATAGACAATCCTCTGCTGATCGGTGGCAAGAAGTTCGACTTACGGCTATATGTGCTCGTTGCCTCGTTTAGACCTTTGAAGGCATATCTCTTTAAGCTCGGCTTTTGTCGCTTTTGCACGGTTAAGTACGATACGAGCGTGACGGAGCTGGACAACATGTACGTCCACTTGACCAATGTGAGCGTGCAGAAGCATGGCGGCGAGTACAATACATTGCACGGCGGCAAATGGTCCGTGCAGAATCTGGCACTCTATTTGGAGGGGACGCGTGGCAAGGAGGTGACGGATCGTCTGTTTGGTGCCATCTCCTGGCTGATTGTACACTCGCTGCGTGCCGTGGCGCCAGTCATGGCCAGCGATCGACATTGCTTCGAGTGCTATGGCTACGACATCATCATTGATAATGCACTGAAACCGTGGCTCGTCGAGGTGAATGCCTCGCCCTCGCTCACATCGACCACAGTCAACGATCGCATACTCAAGTACAAGTTGATCGACAATATATTGTCGGTGGTGCTGCCGCCGGACGGTGTTCCGGATGTGCGCTGGAATAAGGTGCCCACAGCGGATGCCATGGGCAACTTTGAGCTGCTCATCGACGAGGAGCTGGCCGCCCAAGATGAAGCGCAGAACAACAGCAACACCTCCTCTCATCATGCCAAATCCTCGAGGATGAGCAGCCGCTGGAAGTGACGAAGGTAAACGCGAGCCGAGCTCTCTGTCGCTTGGTTCAGGTGTGAGTGTGGGTGTGCAATAGCTGCTTGGTAATCGTTTTAGTTTTCTTTGTGACGGGGGCCTAACTTGTGTTAGCAATAAATATTTACACGTAGAAAATTTTTAGTTGATAAACTATATGTTGGAAAATCATACGTTTTGACCTAGCTTAAGATGTTTTAAGTTGTGTAATGCTGACTATATGATATGATTCCATCTATTTAATAAAAGATTACTCAGAAAAAATGTGTTTTAGAGTTGATATATGCAATATATTTTTATACCTCGTGGAATTAAAAAAAAGGTCGATAGTATAGACAGTCCATTCTGTATTGCTTTATTATTTTTTTTTATT